GAACATCCATGGAATGACAGGGCATTTGCATTAAAATTGCTTTGGAAAGTAACTAAACTACATACTGATTGTAAAACATATATTCATTCCCACACCTTGAAATTCCCAAACAGTAGTCAGTTGAGGGAATATCGTTCAGAAGCTTTAGGGCTGCATGTTTACAAGGCAACTTCCAGCTGTTTAGAGCATCTCTAGATGCTGGACAAATCCTATCATGACAGATGTATCATTTTATGCATTATCTAACCAATCCTTCTACACAACCTGCATGGCAGTAAATCTCACTGAAATCAACAGGATTGCATGGTGTGGATTGTAGTCACAGTGTCCTAAACTGCTCATTCTGAAGTAAGAAAAAAGCTTTATATTCTTGCAAATAATGTCATTGTTTTACATACTTCTGCTTTACATTGCCGTCACGATGGTAAAGTGGGCTTATGTCATCTTTGCCAGTATAAACAGTGGAGTAATGAGTAGGTGTTAGGAAAAAATTATTTTATCTCTGCATGGCACTAGTTAAATTGTTGCTGGAATAATACATTCTGTATTAGCAAGCACAGTTTGAAAAAGAATGTTGGAATATGGGGCTGAGAAAAGAAAACAGTTGCATGAATAAAATGTTGAAGAAGGCTTGTGCTGAGAGAATGAAGGAGCTTGGTATTTTTAAATGCTGTTAAATATTGTTAAGTGAGCTTACTGGGTAATGCTGAAAAACATAGGAAGGTGCCTTTTACTGTTAGTGCATCTTGCACAGTCTTTTTCACACTGACTGGAAGTGGTTTTTCAGGGTTCCAGAAAGTGGCCTTTGCCAGCACTCCCTGGAAATGCTAGGTATTAAAGTTGGAATTTTCTGTGTGCGAACCATGTGCTTGTCTACTGCAAATACTGTGTGTGAACCATGTGCTTGTCCAGCAAATACTGGACTGGGAATGTTATGCTTGCTGTTAAACAAGGAATTCACCCAGGATAGGCTTAAGAGCTCTGTAGTGGGAAGAAACACCTGCTTCCCATAATCCAATATCAACTGCAATGTGCTTCATTTAGAATGCTACAGTCACATGGATGTAGTCATGCTACTGTGAATAGGATATGCCCAGGCAAGCATTCTGCAAGTGGTTAAGAGCCTGAGCTACAAACCAGGAAATCCCTGGTTAATTCTCACCTCAGCTATAAACTCACTTGGTGAGAGATCCAGCATGTACGTGAAGCTCCTGAGGGAAAGCAGCCTGAAACACTGCCATCAATGTGAGGGACATGTTCACTGAGAGATCTCGGGGTACACTGGACCCAGCCTTTGATCAAACTGACAAAAACTTTATTGCAAGCTTACATAGGGAGCAGTGTTTTATTTCTTTTCATTGATAAGTTGTTGAAATGAAAATATTGAGCGTCTCCAAGTCAGAATCTTCATAAATGATTGTGCAGTTTAAATTTCCAACAGCTGAATGAAATTAAAGATCTGATAGCCAAACAACTTTTATCTGACATTCATTTACTATGCTGGAAAGCTCAATCGCTGCTGTGCTCAAGGATTTATGAAGGAAATCTTAATTATTGTCTGTAAATGTAAGAAACAAGCTTACCACATAAAACATTCCTGAGGAGTGATGAGATTGATATAAATTCCACAGTAATGTCAGTGTCTCGTGAGTAATGCCCCCTATTCCAGGCAACTCTTTGTAACATTATAATGAAGCTACCCACAATATCGTTGCAGCAAAACATACTTTTTGTCTTCATAAAAACAGTCCACCTTCTAAATCTGTCTGAACATTATCAGGCCCATAACCAGGAGTCAGCACCATAGGGCTCCCAGGAGGACCCACTGCTTGAACCACACAGGCCCTGTGGTCCTTTCAGCACTAGACAAAAGAAAACTAGCAGAGAAGAGCATACTGAATCAGGCCAAAGTCTCATCTAGTCCAGCTTCCTGTTTTTTCACTGTGGCAACCAGATGCCTATGGGAAGCCTGACGGCAAGACCTGACAGCAACAGCACTGGAGCCCAGGAGGTCATGGGCGCTGCCTGTCACTTTAATTCCCCCATTATGACTCTGGGAATTAATGTAGCATTGCTACACCATGGCACTGTTTTGGTGCCCCAGAGGCATTGTGGGGGAATTAAAATGGCAGGTGCTATCAGCAGCACTTGCTAACTAGACCACCTTTTTACTACTGTGCCTTCTGTTGCCTACCTTGAGGGATGTTTACCATCATGAAGGAGCCCCATCAAGTCTCCAGTTAGAAAGATCTATGCCTTTATTTATCACTACTGATGCAGCAATTGAACAAGAATTACAACATACCCATGCCCTTCTGTATTTTCAATACAGAGAATGTCATCGTTTTTTTAAAAAAAACCAAACACTTTAATAGTTTACATCACTGTTTACTCTGTGTTCTGGACTTTAGCCAAAGCAAGTAGGGTCACCCCATTGTACTGAATCTGAGTCTAGGAATGATAACCCCACTGTATCCACCCACTGCCCCCCCGTGGGAAAACTACCATGGAAAAAGAATCACACTGAAGTGCAAAAACCACACTGATGGAAGCAGAAGACTTTTCCTGCTTGGGCAGCAGAGCAAAGAACACTTTAAAAATGTTTCAGACAGACACAGTGCAAATACTTCTTCTGCTCTGTATCCACAGGTCAGACAATCAATACATCCAGCAGTTACTTGATGCTTATAACATGGCAGGAAAAGGTGTGTGCAGTGTATTTCATGCATCATAATGCACACAATTCTTCCTCTCTCTGTAAGAGGCCCTGTGTTTTTTGTTCCAGTTCTCCTCACATGCATACCTTTCTCAAATCCCTGAAGGTTTTTCCATTCTGAGACAGCATTTTTCAGGTTCATTCCTCCACCAGTATTCCCACACAGTGAGAAAACAATACATCACAACCAAGACTTTGTTTTGTAACAGAGCAAAGGTTTTTTATAAAGTGAATCTCATAATAATGTACAAACATGGCTCCCAGAATTCTGAAAAGGAAATGGGATACAAGGAAGGTTTCTGTCTTTGGTGGATATTGCTGAGCTGGTTTTGTTTCCATTCTTTGCTTACAGTGAAACATTTTGCTCCTAAGGGGCCAGGCTTCTCTTCAGCAAACTTTCTGGGGGCATGTGGACAGATGTGTAATGTTGTCTTTCTTTTGAATTGTGATTTTGCATTGAAAGGAAACTTCCCCCTCCCCACAGTGAGGGTGCTGGGGGTTTTTTGGGGGGGGGGCTGTGTACCCACTGCCAAACATCTCCTTGCATAGTGAAAAGGGAACTCCACAAAAATTCAAGACAGCCTATTGTACTTCATTTCCACTTTTCTTGGGAATACTTCATTCCTACTCAATTTAGAGATCTTTAAATTTGGAGAATTTGAGACTCCCTGTTTAGTTTTGTAATCTTTACAGTGAAAGGAGCCCATATCCTTATAAACCAAGCACACATTGTCCCGGAAATACTGTCGGCAAATTGCATTTGTTGCTCTGTCCCACCAACAGTGATCTATATGAGAACAATAAAACATGAAAACAATAAACCCAGGTTCCAGGTGTGCATACTTCTTCTTCTTTGTTTCCCAGTTCAAGAGTATTTTAATGCAGCAAACAAATGAGCAAAAGAGAAGAAAGGTTGGGTGCAGTGAATGTTCTATTGTGTACCACTTTTTTTTATTAAAAAAAATGATTCGTCACTTTCAGTACTTTGGTTATGTTTTCAGATAATAAGCCACCCACGCAAGCTGCCATATTAATTGAATTGCCCTTATAAACAAAGCACTGTCATGGGGAGTGCCTTTCAAGAGGAGAAAGGCTTTCTGCCCCAACATAAACCTGACAGAACAGTATAATTACTGAAGCTAAACTAATATCCATATCTGCTTGGCTTCTGTGTTAAAAGATAAGAGTAAACCAGAGATTAGGGAATGAGATCCCAAAAGGAAAGCTGGTTAACAGGAAGGGAAAAAACCCTAGACCCTTCTGAAAAGGTTTTGCTGTTTTTAAAGATGCAGGCAATGCCATTTGTTTCTCCTGACTCACAAAATGGTCTGGAGACACCTGGTGTAATTCAAAGTGGTTCTGGCCCTGCAAGCTGCCTGCATAACATGATGTTAGTGGGGGGGGGGGTTTAAAAAGCAGTATCCGTATCATACATTTAAATCCCTTTTATTCCACTTTTAACAGTCATGACTTTCAGGCCAACAAATCCTGGGAACTGTATTTATCACCGAGGTACTGCTCCAAACACCCCCAAAAAATCAAAGTTCCCATGGTTCTTGAAAGGGGTAGGAGGAGCCATGACTGTGAAAGTGACATAAAAGTAATTTAAATATATGGAATGGATGTGAAAATAGAGCATGGTACAAGTGTAATAAATAAATGTAAAAAGGTAGATGACAGAGTAAAATACACCACAGCCTTAGACTACAATCACACCATACATTTAAAGCACACTTCAAAAACGATTTGCTATCCCCCAAGAATTCTGGGAGCTGTCGTTTCTTAACGGTGCTGAGACCTGTTAAGAGACCCCTATTCCCCTCTCAGAGCTACAAATACCAGAGAATTTGACCATCAATTCCTCTTCACAGGGAACTCTAGGAATTGTAGCTCTCGGAGGAGAACAGGAGTCTCCTAACAACTCTCAGCACCCTTTAGAAACTGCAGCTCCCAGGATATGGGGGGCGAGAGCCAGGAGTGCTCACAAAGGTGTCATGGTGCTTTAAATGTATGGTGTGAATGTGGCCTTACTTCCATTCACTGTGACAAAGATTGTTTAGAAAAGGGATTATAACCCAGTGGCATAGTTCTTTTTTAGCATGCAAAAAGCCCATATTCAATCCTTGGCATCTCCAGGCAGGGCAGGGCATGTCCACTGTCTGAAGTCCTGGAGAGTTATGTTGCCGGTTAGTGCAGATGATACTGAGCCAGATGGACCAAGGATCTGACTCAGTATAAGGCAGTATGCATATATTATTTTTTATTATTTTGTTTCTTTCTCTAGGAGAAGCTCGAGAGAGAGAGGGAGAGAGAGACAGAGAGATGGCCAAATTGACAGAGTCAATGAGTGAGTACAAATAGGAAGTTCAACTTTTTGGCTTTTTCTGCCCATTATTATTATTATTTAGAAAAGATTCCTTCCTGCAGGCAGTCTTCATCCAGCTTCTACTTCACTCTCACTTCCATTAAATGAATCAAGCCTCCCCTCACAAAGGCTGGCATCCTCTCAGTTATATGTGTGCTGTGACTAAATTCTAAAATGATAAAAAGTTCTGGAGTTCAAAGATATGTGGGAGTCACATCTCCTCATCCAAAATGGAGGCAGACTGGCTGTAGCTACAAAATAGTTAGTAGTGAAAGTCACTCTGACACATTCACAGAATACCTACCAGTATCTGTACTGGGGATGCAACATTGTGCAATCAAATAGGATGGGATTCCCTTTCGTCTCCTCACCAAGCAGTCTCTGTGCACCCCATATCTTCTCAGGAGGGGGTGCACAGGGATTTCAGGGGGAGTCCTGCTTCTTCAAGTGGACGTCCATTGTGCAATTGGGTCACCACAATTAGATATCATCCACTGTAATGAATCTGCAATACCAGAGCAAAACAGTCGCAATACATGTTCTGGGACTTCTTCTTTTTTCTGGGACCTGGTTCAAATTCACTATAAATGACCTTGGTTTATATTATTTTTTATTACTTTAATGCATGTGTCATTCTAAGGATGGGGAAGAAATTCCATTCAAGTCTCATTTGAAGGCAAACCTATCAAATTCACACTTGCTGAAGCAATATGTGAACTGAAACACATCTAACTTTCAAAATTCACACTTACCTGAATTTTGTTGTTCAGTTCTCCAACCAAACAGTATTTACAAAAATGCATAATTAGGGGGAGGGGTGCATAAAAGTGATTATATTGGTGTAAATAACACAAAAATGCATTATATTAGGGGAGGGTGCTTGCAAAAATGTGTACTTTAGTTAAAACAGCATATTAAAATGTGTTTGAGAAATTCACACTAAAGGATGTTGATTATTTTCAAGAGGATTTTCGCAAATTGATGCAAAATGTAGAGAACTGAGAAACAGAGAGAGCTAAAATTGACAGATTCTTCCAACCCTTCTCACCACACTGCAGTGAAACACAGAGCTATTAGCGTCACAGACAACAAAAAAAGATATTTCACAGTTGATGGGTGCCTTAGTGAGAACTTCTTTGTCTTCATTCCATCCTGAAAATTTCAGGATGACTGATAGAACTCACAGAGCTGTGCGTCTCTATTGTATGAAACAAGAAGAGCAAAATCTCAAATGAGAAGTGTTTTGAATTAAGTTAAAGCCAATTTGCAATGACGGGATGTGTGAGAGAACTACGGAATGACTGAAGCTAGACAAGCATTCATATCATTCATATTAGCAAGGTGCTGCTTCAAAGATAGCAACACAGGCAAAATGGGGGAAACAGATCCCAAAGACAGGACTTAACAAAGGTTTTTTGTTATTCTTTGCAAGGCAAGAGCAGTCCTAAAACCACTTAAGCCATTGAAGCTGCACAGAAGTTAATGCAGCTCCACTGATGCACACAGTCTCAGAATCACTCTCTAAATTGTGGCATTTAGAAGGTAATTCAGTTGAAACATTAGCTTTTGCCTGAACACGTTGAGCTCTTGCTTTCAGCATGTTATGTTCAAGCTGTTAACTTCTCTTTGGAACTGAGCTAGAACACAGAGTGATTTTTAACAATCATTTTTACTCCTTGCAAAAAGCACCCTCCCCTTCTTGAAGATTCCTCCCCCCCCCAAAAAAAAAAAAAGACTGTAAAGAGCGGGGAGGAAAGTAGTCACAGCATGGCAGCCCTTCCTAACAATCACCATTCAGAGTGAAGCAAAGCTGTTCCTTTATTCTGAATTGACTTTGCAATGTCACCATGCAACCAAATCTGACAAGCTAAGTCCATGTGGTGCCACAGCAAACTTTCATGCAATATTCTGAATGTATTACAATTTTGCCGACTTTATTACTTTTACAGGGACATCAAAAATATTGGATTTTGGTCACAGAAGATAAATGAAGCAAGACAAATTATATGGTACCTTGGTGAAAGTTTCAGGGAGGAATGATTTTGAAAGAAGCCTTTTTGATATGCAGAACAGCTGCTCACTGTGGATTAGTGCAGAAGTATAATCATTATGCAAGCTCTGACTCAGAGATAATATGAGCTGAAAGATACTCGTGAATCGATAGCAGCAAAAATTTTCCTCATAAGAACTGGTGACTAAAGAGCAGTTTTCCCACTGCACTTTAAATACATATAGAAAACTTGTCTGCGTGATTTACCGTAATACTCCTGGCAAGAACAAACAAGCATCACTGCAATTTATTACAGATTTTATAAAAATGATAATCCATATTCACTTTAATAACCTGAATTGGAATAACACTTTTCCCCATCACAAGATTCTACCTTGCTATGTTGCTTCTGTCATGCCAGTTCAAGTTAGGAGTATATTCGGCTGGTTGGCATGTTTCAGTGCTAAGAGTGATATTGAAAGCATATCAAGATCATTAAAACAGCAGCTGATGAGTTGGATGCAGAGCTAGTCGTGCTTAGATTCGTTTATTGCAATGGTCTAAGCATGATTAAGTCTAGATCCAACCCAACGTGTATATTTGAATTCTATCTGCATAACATTTTCATGTCAATGCCCATGACTAATTGAGAAAAATTAAGGGTTGGATCCAGTGCTGCTCAAATGGTGTTCTACTCCCATGATGCAATTTCCCCTTCCTCTCCTCTGCCCACATTCCCCCAAAATCTTCTCCAGTCCCCTAACTCTCTGAAATACATCTTGAGGGGACGCAGGGGAGAGCAGAGAAGAAGGAAATTCTGTTGTGCGTCGAGGTCCCCAAGACACCCCAAATAAGAACACAACGACACTTGATTTTTGTTTAAGGTTTTTGGCATAATTTTGGCCAGAACTTTATTAAAAATACAGCAATGTGAGTAGTTGCTTAGGCATTGGTAGCGACTAACTGACCCCGCAGGGGACAGCTCTGACATTCGCACTCCCTGCGAAGTCAGCAAGGGTAAGTCACCTGGGGAGAGAGACGGGACTGGGAACCATGCCTCACCTCTCCACAGAATGCTCCCAGGGGCTTGCGTGGCCCTAGCCCCTTGCCAGGGGGTTCAGACAAAAGCATGGCGAGCCCCTGGGTTCCTTTAATGGAAAACCCTTGCAGCAGCAGCATTTTGGAGGGGCAGGCACAGCCAAATCCATACCCCTCCACCAACCAATTCCCAAACCAATGCCTAACCGCAACCTTACAAGTTGTGACGATTTGCTACGCAGTAGGCAAAAACCAAATGGCACCAGCAAATCAGCCAAATGGACAAAATTCCTACCAGGCCCCTGCCCCAAAGCAGACGACCCCATGACAGGCATAGCAAGGTCAAGCAAACAGCCTAACATTAGGGAGGGAGGGCGGGTGATCCGAAGCACGCAGCAAAAGAGGAAGCTCGTCACTGCGTGCAGTGTATTTAACAAACAGGGCTGTCAGTCAATAAATGGCAACATATAAATCTCCCCAGTAACAGCCCGCCCCTGCTTAAAGATGGCCAAACTCTTTTGCCCAGCAACAGTGAGGTGTCTTGTCAGCCCCCACCGCAACACGTGCTCTCCATGAGGGAGAACACGCTTTGTAAAAGTGGGAATGTGTTGTGTCAGCAGGATGGCAGCGCTGGATACAACCCCGACTTTATACATAGAATCAAATATAAGAGTTGATGGAAATCAAATTAAAATATCAGGAGTCTTATCTTCAATTTTATCACAAGCAGATACCAATATGTACAACATTGTGCCTCCAGGTGTACAACTGCCATAATTCCTGACCATTGGCCATGCTAGCTGGACCAACACAAAACTAGATGTGATTCACCCAGCCTAATTATCTCTGTCTGGCTGCTGCTGCTGTTGTTGTTGTTGTTACTGTTGTTGTTGTTTGCTTGGATATATAGATAGACAGATATTGATATATTTAAGATTTTTTAAAAATCTCTTTAACTTTTCATAATCCAAACTGGCGACAGCAGATCATTGAAATCTTGACAGATTTCAAAATTTAAATTTACTGTTTTCAGGTTATGAAATAATAACAGCAACAACAACAACAATTTAAATCTCACCCTTCCTCCCAAAAAGCCCAAATAAGTGTGATAATTTAAATTATTGGTTTGATAATTCAAGCAGAATAATGACTTTGCCAGCAAGTGATATATGCAGAATTTATGCAACCCAAGTTTCAAATTCAAAGGAAGCAGCTATTAAAATAGCTGATGTGATGGAAGCACAAGTCTCAATTAAGCACAGTTTAATTCTCTCCCCTCCCTGCCCCCTTGAATTACTGTATTATTTATTGGATTTTTTTAGAAGGTCAGAATGTCATTCTAATGGGGCAAAGTTTTGCAATGTGGTCAAATCTTTTTTTATATATTAAAAAATCACATTTTGGTGGCTAAAAACCTTGTGTAAAGATTACAGTTTTAAATTAAGCCAGTATCCCGTGTTACTATAGAAACCCCCATTTATGACATGTTTGCAGGCAAAAAGTCAAACGATGCATTTTAATGAGGGAATCGGGAGAACATTCCTTCTATGGAGAAATTTATTTTTTTTAAAACAACACAGAATTTCTTAATGATGTGGGAAAGGCAACCTAATTAATAGTCCTGTAAAAGTGACATTAAATCCTGAAATGACATGTGCCATGTTAATTTTAAACAGTAGTCTCCACCTTGCAGATTATGTCTTAGGTACTGCAGGAGGTTGATGGATTGAGAAACATGTTTCCATGGAGATATATGCTGCTTTGCTGGTATTCCCTACAGAAAGTAAAGGGTTTCTTTGCCCCCTTCTCAGTTATACAAATTAGCTATATATAGCAAGAGATGTTAGAAAACTGAAAACAGCAGTCTGCTGGGGGGGGGAGTGGAAAACTGGCATTTATGAGTCAAAAGAAGCACCACGTAACAGACTTGTTCAGGAGGATGGAGCAAGGAAAG